CTCTCTCTCTCTCTCTCTCTCTCTCTCTCTCTCTTATCGGATGAGTCGGTCCGACAGCGCACCGAAAAAAAATGAAGAAATAGATTGATTTTGACCTCATTTTCTATACACACAGTAATACTAACGACAAAAAACTAATACAAATCGATTGAATCCATTGGAAAGGCAATCGTTTATCACAAGAAATAAAATAAATGACAACAAAAAACAACAGCAAAAGTAAAAACACAACAAAAAAGTCGAGACAAAAGTTTTCTGCGATTTTTACTTTAACTCTTAATAATGCTTTTGTTTTTACACTTATTTAATGAGAAAAGTCACACAAACACACCGAAAATAACACTTGAATTATTTAGCGACTATACTATACCTCATATTATAGAATATTCTGTATAAATTACACTAAACTCAAAGTGTCATTAAAATAGGAGTTAATTAAAAAATATAACTCAATATACAATCTTTACAAAAAAAACTAAAGTATCGGTGCCATCAAAACGAAATGACTTTTTTTGACAACACTTTCTCATAACATTACCGTATATTTCGGAGTCAATTAAGGGCTCTCAAGACATTCAGATTTAATCTCCTTTTTTGAAGTCTCTCTTTATCTATGCTTTACTTTATTATAAACAGTCATTCATTATACCTCTCATACACTATACCCTCCCTATTAATACTTGAATATATTGAGCACAAAGGGCTGGCATTTGGTAGACATTAAGTGCTTTCTTATCGATTGAGCGCTAAGTCTACTCTTAAAACTCTTAATACGAAATTAGTTTACAATTTGTATTGAAAAGTCTACTGTCAAGTAGGACTGGTAGTACACAATAGGCTTACCAGAGAGTGAAGTGAATATATTTAGTGTATTGTATTGTAATGAGTGAATACACGTAATGAGAGGCAACTGTTAGGCAATCAAACGGCAAATTACTGCCAATGAATGCCATTGTAGTCAAGAATATACAGAATATTCTCGTTGTTTCCAGTAATCAATGAATACTTTAGTTTAGTTTCACTTGTGTTTCAGAGAAATAATTACAATTTTATTTTACCATTTGAAAATATTTCAATTAAGGCCTCAAAGTTGTATTTTCTATAGAGCACTGGTTATTTAGCGTATGAATTAAATTATTTAAAATCAATGTTAAATTATATACAATTGTTAATCAATATATTGAATAAACAATTTACTAGAAATAAGTTATTATTTAAATTAATTTCCATAATCAATGTTATTATAAGGAATAAATTAAATTTATAAAAACATTGTACTGTATTAAATGAACTAGCACTAGGAAATGTGGGAATACTTAAAAAACATATTAATTGCAGTATGTTTGGATACATTAGTTCTCTCTCTCTCTCTCTCTCTCTCTCTCTCTCTCATCACTCATTAAACTCAATAATCAAACACAAAAGATAGCAATAGAAATACCCAACAAAATCCATACAACCCTACCAACCCATCCATCGCACAGCACCTGTATCTGACACATAATGATTAATCATTATCTATAATACCAGACATAATACCATTCTTATAATAACACATCCCTTTCCCTCTATAGCTACGCTCACGTAACCCACTGGGACGAGCGGGCTATCATCAAAGTGGATATGAGTCAGTTCAAATACGTTAAGACAATCAACCTGGCCGACTGCCAGCCCGTGCAGGGCGTGCACACCGATCACGGCTTACTCATCATCCAGTGCCAGACGCCGGTCACCCATCAGCTAACCGGCCAACTCGTGGTCGACCAGATCACCGACGCTCTAATCGCCTACAACCCGCACGTGAGGGCCCAGAAGTGCTATCTGTCCCCCAACCAACACTTCCTGGTGAACGTACTGCACAACACATCCACCCCTACAGCCACCACCGTTATCGTCCAGAGGGTGACCCCCGAGGGACTGGAGTTTTTGTACGACGTGCGGACGTCCCTCGATATTGTCAACTGCGAGTTCGTCTGGAAGAATGGCAACTATGATGCCGTACTGGCCTCGGGTACGCCTAATCGCGAGGACCTCCTATACCTGTCCCTCAGCGATGGTAGAGTTGAACTTATCACTGGCATCGGACGGCCTACTAATGGGTAACGGAGTTGTTTATAGTTGTATAGCATGTAATTCATGTGTATTTGATTTATGATTTACTGATGTGTGTGTGTCTGTCCCCTACCCGACCCCCTGACAGCTCCCACCGGGGAATGGCGTTGGCTTCGCAGTCTAAGCTGTTGGCCGTAACGGCAACCGAATCGGTATTTTTGGTCGATTTGAACACAAATCGCATCCAATGCGAGACAACGCAAAGACACCAAAAGCCAAATACACTCGTCTGGTCGTAGGCTACATACCTGTCCATACATTAGTGCGCTGTTAGTATGCAAATTAATTTTATTTTTTCAAATTCTGTAGAATTCATATTAAATGTTTTATACTATTTTCATGAATTCTGTATGAAATGATAATTTATTCACAATTTTGCTCTATTTTTGACAGTTTTTTGGTCTCAACTCTTCTTATACTCTCATTTGGATAATAACTATATATTTAACGACAAACACAAACACATCGCGTGTTTTATCTGTAATTTATAGTATATTTCGTATAATTAATAATAAACAGGAATCAGACAAACAAATATTGTAATAAACATAACAAAAAAACAAATCAAACACTTTTTAGAGCACATAATATAATTACATAATTTTAAAACAAAACAGTTTTTTGTTTAATTCGGGCGAAAGTAAAATAAATTGAAAAATAATTTTGTGATACAATAATAACAAGTAATAGGCATTTGTCTCAACAAAATGTATTCATAATAATAATAAATATTGAAAGTATTAGTACTGAAAGTAACGTATGATTTGTAAATCAATATTCAGAATATTCTATAAAAAAGTTGTGTTTTTCAAGTGTTATGTAAAATAAGTTTCTAAATATTATTATTATTATTATAAATGTATTGCAAAACACATGTCAATCGGTTTATCTTTAAAACTAATTTCCAATAAATTTTTAATTAATTGTAAATCTTAACAAAAAAAAAATTAACACTTAATTAATTTCAATAAATTCTTGTAAAATACAGTTTACTTATGAAAAATAAAATACACTTTTATTGAAACAAATAATTTAATTAATATTTAGTAAATTTATTAAATATGATTTTAATCCAATAAATTAAATTTTATTGATTAGATTAAAATTGTAAGGAATTCATATCTTATACACATGAATAAACTTTTAAATCATTTTTTATTTCAGGAAATTAATTAGTGCTACAAAGCATTGAATTTGAAAAGTAACTTTACATTTGTGTTTAAAACTGTAAACTCAGAGATTAATACAAATGCATTTTTGACAATTTTGTGTAAATTGAATCGAAAACTAAATTTAATTATATTGTGTTTTCATTATATTAATGGTATTATAAAACTAAAATCAATTCAAACATGAATTCAATTGAAAGTCAAATCAAGTCTAAAACTAATGTATTATTAAAACTAAAGGCTTTTAATAATTGTTTGAATGAAATGAAGACTCAATTCAATGATAACTCAATTGATTGTAATTTCGGAGAAAATAATGAATTGAATGACAAATCAATTGATTTCATAAAGACAATTGTGACAAACGATTTGCTAATACAGTAAACCAAATCTCTATCGACACAAACGTGCCGTTCATTTAAAGCTTAAGAAGTTTGTCTGTAATGTCGATCAAAACTGTCAACACAAATGTGTCTCAAAATCGGATCTAATGTCACACAAACGCATTCATACGGGAGACAAACCATACGTTTGTGATGTCGACGATTGTGACCGAAGATTCACTCAGAAATCATCGCTAAATCATCACAAAAATAGTGTTCACTTAAAGGTTAAGAAGTTTGTCTGTAATGAAGAGAATTGCGGACAAAAATTCTCCACAAATTCAACACTCATTCAACACAAACGCATCCATTCGGGGGATAAACCATACGTTTGTGATGCGAAAGATTGTGGCAAACAATTCACACAAAGTTGTAATTTAATTGAACACAAAAACAGAGTTCACTTACAACTGAAGAAGTTTGTGTACAATGAAGACAACTGTCAACACAAATGTGTCACAAATAGTGATCTAATGTCACACAAACGCATTTATACGGGAGACAAACCATACGTTTGTGATGTCGACGATTGTAATGAAAGATTCACTCAGAAATCATCGCTAAATGAACACAAAAAAGTCGTTCACTTAAAGCTTAAGAGATTTGTTTGCAATGAAGAGAATTGCGGACAAAAATTGAGCGCAAAATCTCACCTAAACGATCACAAACTGATTCACTCGGGAGAGAAGCCATACGTTTGTAATGTCGAGGATTGCGGTAAAAGATTTCGACTGAAAAGACATCTAAATCGACAAAGCTATTCATTCGGGACTCAAACCATAGGTTTGCGATGAATCAATTGCGATAAAAGTTGTGGAAAAATATTTCATTTAGTTTTACTCAATATATTAAAATTATATGTTTTCATCATATCTTACGGTACTGTTAATATTGATATTTACTAATACTTTCAATAATTGGTTATATTTTGCATCGTTTTAATGACTCCCACTATTCATTTACCGTACTTAATAATAAACATATTATATGTATTTACAAAATTAAAACTTAAGTTAACTTAAAAACTCAATTATCTCTAATAATAATCATAGTAATAGTAATTAAATAAACAGTTTTTGTGTAATTCGGGCGAAAATAAAATAAATTGAAAAATAATTCTGTTATACAATATAACAAGTAAAAGGCATTTCTCTTAACAAAATGTATTCATAATAATAATAAGAAGAAGAATTGAAAGTAACATATGATTTGTAAATCAATATTCAGAATATTCTATAAAAAAGTTGTGTTTTTCAAGTGTTATGTAAAATAAGTTTCTAAATATTATTATTATTATAAATATAATTCAAAACACATGTCAATCGGTTTATCTTTAAAACTAATTTTCAATAAAATTTTAATTAATTGTAAATCTTAACAAAAAAATTAACCCTTAATTAATTTCAATAAATTCTTGTAAAATACAGTTTATAATACTTATGAAAAATAAAATACACTTATTGAAAACAATAATTTAATTAATACAGTATTTAGTAATTTTATTAAATATGATTTTAATTGACTATTATAAATTAAGATTTATTGATTAAATTAAAATTGAATGGAATTGATATCTCATAATAAACATTTAAATTATTATTTATTTTCAAACATTAATTAGTGTTTCAAAGCATTCATTCATAGAAATGGTTTGGAAAATAATTTTACATTTAATTTAATCTAATTTAATTTAATTTAATTTTACATTTAGTGTGAAAAACTGTAAACTCTTAAATTAAAACACTTTTGAAAAAAGTTGGCATTTTTGGTCATTTTGTATGAATTGAATCGTAAACTAAATTTAATTATATTGTGTTTTCATTGTATTAATGGTATTATAAAACTAATATCAACTCAAAAATGAATTCAATTAACAGTGAAATGAAGTCTAAAATTAATGTTATATTAAAACTAAAGTCTTTTAATGATAATAATTTGAGTGAAATTGAGACTCATTTGAATGATAACTCAGTTTTCATTAAAAATAATCAAATGAATGAAAAATCAATTGATTTCATAAATTGTTTCAAATTATTGAGAATTAACGCCAATTATAATGTATTAAGTGGTGAGCCGTCAGAGCACAGGGAGGGACAGGCATTGGATGGAGTGGTCGATGATAATTGTCGTGGCGTTCAAGACCAATACTTATCAGTGGAGGCATTGGACAGCGAGAGTGGTATCACTGTTGGACAGACAGTACCACAAGAACTGGATGAATATGAAGAGAGAGATGATTGGCAGACAATTGGAGACAATGAGAGCACATCTGAAGACAATACCAGTGCTGAGTCGTCTGTCCACACATTGGATGCACTGATGGATGAGAATAGCAGTGAACCCGAAGAAGAGGGCGGAGAGAGTGATGTCAGAGACGGACACAAAGACACAGAAGTGGGAGGACTTGAGGACAGAGAGGACTCCAGTGATCGACATATCCCTCAAACCGATGCCTCTAATGATCGCCCGTTTGTCTGTCATTATCCCAATTGTAGCCAACGATTCAAACGGAATTCACGTCTCAATCGACACAAAATTTCCGTTCATTTGAAACTTAAGAGATTCAGATGTGATGTCAAGGGTTGCGGAAAAAGATTTGCCCGAAAAGATGCATTGTTTGGACACAAAAATATCATTCATTTGAAACTCGAGTCATTTGTTTGTAATGAAGACAATTGCGGCAAACAATTCACCACAAAATCCAATCTCAATGAACACAAAAATAGGATTCATTTACGGGTTAAGAAATTTGTGTGCAATGAACACAACTGCCGATACAAAAGTGCCTCAAATAGTGCTCTAATTTCACACAAACGCATTCATACGGGAGAAAAACCATACGTTTGTGATGTCGACGATTGCGGACAAAGATTTCGATTTAAAGAACAGATAAAACGACACAAACTTACCATTCATTTGAATAATGAATAAATAAAATTATTTCATAAAATAAATTTCTTAAACTGGTATTAAACTGGAAACTAAATTATACGGTAATAACATTACTCACAATATGTTTACATTATATGTTTTCACCATATCTTACGGTACTTTAATTATTGATTTTTACAAATACTTCCAATAATTAGTTATTTTTGCATCGGTTTAATGACTCCACTATTCATTTATTTAAAAACAAATTAAATTTATGTATTAAACAACAAAATCAAAAGAATATTCATTTCAATCAAACATTATTTTAATCGTCAATTCAATAAAAGACTAGAATATAATAAACGAATTCAGAAAATACTAAACAATTAATAATAAGAAATTATTAATTGTTTTCTTAAATAACAATCAATTTAATGAATAGAGAAAATAAACCAAAACTTAATTTCAATTAAAAACTTATGTTTGTTTGTAACCATTGTGTTGATTGTAATGTATTTTTATACAATAATTACAATAAATAGCTCTGAATATACATTCATATCAA